TTCCCGCTGAGGGGAAGGCGGCCCCGGCGGGGAGCTCGCCCCCGCCCCGCCGGCTCCGTTAACGCCCGGAAACAGCAGCGAGGCTTCCCCCGCGCAGCCATGAGCGGGCTCGGGGCCGCCGCGGCCGCCCGCTTCGCTTCCCTTCCTTCCCTCGCACGGGCTGTGCACTAACTGCACCCCCGGAAAGGGGGAGCTGAGCTCCTGCTCCCACAGCTCGGAGAGCGAAAGGAAAACAAGTCCTTTCGTGTCACCTGCTGTAGAACACGCTGCCTTATTTCTGTTTGACCGCCAAGACACTCAGTCTCCGTCCCTCCGTGAGTTAAAACATGCTTTGCTTTTGGCATGGATCGCCATAACACAATAAAAGGACAGAGAGAAATGGTTTTCAGGCACATGATGTGTTGTTACCTTTATAGCTGGATTGATCATTTGTAGAGCTGAGATAAACAGCAACCTTGACCTCACATATTTTTATTTGTATTACATGAAGGCTCATCTAGGGGCGAAAAAAGCAGCTGATTCACACTAATACATGCTGTAATGAGCAGCTCCTGGATGGTAAATTTAATACCAGCCCTGTCTTTCTGTACCTTGTAGGGACCAGAAGGAACTCCTTTTCCTTTAGTGTGGCACAGATAATGATTTTTCTTGCCTTCCCCCTCTCCCTACATGTCTTCATTTCAAGCAGACATTGGCACAACTGTGGGCTGGACAAAGCTCCAGCTGAGCTCCAGGTAGGGTGCAATGCAGAGAAGCCAATAAAGTACCAGGGTGATGCCTCTTGAAGGAATTTCTGTCCCAGAGCAGCTCAGCAGGGATGCCTCCCTTACTTTAATCACTCTGCAGCAGCTGAACGCTGCCAGCTGGACTGGGGTTACCCCAGCACACCCACCAGGCTGGTGCCCAGAGCCCTTCCCAAAGGCAGATGCTGTCCTCTGAACACAGAGGCATCCTCAAATGGAACCCACCACCGGGACAGGTACAGGTGAAAAGGGAAACACAGTAAGACTGGCTCTGCTGTCCCAGACTTGTGGTCTGCCCATTACTTTTTTTTCCTTTTTGCTAATACTGTATAGAATTACAGAACTCCAGCCACTTGTGTTAATACAGCTTGTTACACCATTTTGGCATATTTTATCTCCCCAGAAAAACACACATCTTAAAACTTCCAGCACCTATTCTTAAATAACTCTCTTGTCAGCAAGATTAAAAGACAAACAAACAAATGAAAAACACTCCTGTCAACCTTTGGATTAAAGGCACCGTCACTAGTCAGTGGGGAATTGATAACAAACCAACCTGCTCTGTGTTCAGAAGCTGTGCTGTTATAATGGCTGAGGATAACTTTTACCAAATGGCTAGTGCTTTCCCAGCTCCTAAACTGGGTAAAACACGTCTATCCTGTAACAGACACATTCATCATGGATTTAAGTAGTTTTCTAATACTACTTTTACATTTTGCCCAAAGCAACATTCCTGTCATGACTGCAGAGGACTTGTCTGCAGATCTGGTGTACTGATCCACAGGCTGCCTGTGTGCTGCACAGGCCACAGGGCAAAGCTTGGCAGTAGTTGAATGCAAGATCCCCCCAGAGTTAAAACAATAACTCAAAACTTTCATGAATGTTAAAAAGCATTTCTGAGTTGTGACATTATGAAGAGGAACTATATGAAAGAAAAAGTGTCCTAGAAATGTGTGGTGTTACTAAATGTTGCAGAGGGATCTCCAGAATTGTGGGAACTGATAGAGCACCGCTTTCCATGTTCACCACAGACTGAAAACTTCTGCCTTTGTGAATATGGTATCTTGGACAAATAATGCACAAGAGGAACCTACTGGTCTCCCTGCATGTGACTGTCAGGCTCTGACAGAATCATCCATTTTCTCCTCCTCAGCACGCTTGTTTTCCTGTTTTCCCACCTGGGATTGCTATCATCCATAAAATTCACTGAAATATTTCCAAGTGTCTAAAAAGCTTTCTCAACTGAAAAATAAAAAAAAAGAATGGAGAATGTTCTCACAAAATTCCTGGGGAAGTCAAACGTGTTTCAATTCCTCTAATCTTTATTTAAATTTGTTCTTATGGGGTCATTAACCAAATATTTTTCTATCACATGGAGTTTCAGAGTCCAATTAATCAGCAAGTGTATTACCTTTCTTCTTTGTATTCTTAGGGGTAAGACAAGGAACATAAATAAAAAGCAAAACTGACAGCCCAGATGACACCGCTAAGGAAGTATTACACCATAAGTATTCCTATTTAAGGCAGGACTGGCCCAGTTCTGTATTCACAGCCACACACAAAGACAGCACACGCTTGGTTGGTTTCAAGGAACCAATAGAGGGTACTTAGGCTCTGGTGATGCAATACACACGCCTATCTGGCATATGAATCACACTCTTAACATGAATGCTGAACAATACTAAATGATTTTTCAGGAATGCTACCAAGGGGTTTCAATTTCCATCTCCCGAATTTTCAGGAATGATCAACTGGAAGTTGTTCAAATGAGACCCATGAAATGTAATGCTCAACCAATGAACCAAAACCACCCATGTAAGTGGGCTTCATGGAGGTGTCCCGCTCTGTTTTAAACCAGCTGATGCTCTCAGGCTGAGGCACAGCCCAGCCTCTCAGGAGGGCTGCAGACAGACACACAGCACCAGCCTTTGCTATGAAAAAAAAATCCCACCTGGCAAAAATCATCCTAGAGATCTGTGAAAAGGAGAAGGGAAAAAAGCAATAGGCTTGAATTCTTGCCCTCTGGTACTAGCCTCCAGAGTGACTTATTGAAGGATGAGGGCAAGTTATGGCTTGTTCTCATGGAAAAATAGCTAAAACATGTATTAGTTTTATTCTACGCCAATCTACCAGCATGAAGGCAAGAACACCTACAAAGAGTTGGGTTTTTTTTAAAGTAGTTACGGAAGTTCCTGTGCTTTAATTCCATGTCTCAGTATTTCACAATTGCCCTTAAGATATATCCTTCTCCTCTGCCTGTTTGAGCCCTTTCATTCCTTTTCAGTGTCATCAACTTAAGTATGTGATTTTTGAATTGCTTTATTGGCAATAAGAATCTATGTGGATAATCAGTTTTCATAATCAAACCATAAAATGTTATTGATAAAAAGGTAAGTTCTCAATTACATCAATTTACTGATCATAAACACATACCTCTAAATTACTTTGAGAACTTACCTTTTTATCAATAACATTTAGAGTTAAGTACTCACCATGCATCAGCATTCCTCAACAGGTGATAATTGAGACTCAAGAGGGTTGACTTCACCCTGGTCTTCCATCAGCTCTATCAGTGGATGGTCCCTTGAGGAGTTAATGCCTGAGAGGTGTCCCAACCCAGGGGAGATGCTGGTCACAGTCCTGCTGCAGTTCAGGAGACCTCAAAGGGTCTCATTTGGGGTTGCTACTTATAGGGTCCAAGATAACTGATTTTTGTCAGACACTTTTTCACCCCGGCCCAGCTTGAATAATGAAGTATTCAGGTGTCTCTCACCAGCTACACAAGAACTTGATGGATGTGCAATTCTGTTATTGTTTTCCCTTGACCACACCCCAGGTATAGGCATACCAGGCTGTCAGGAGGTGATGGACTCTTACAGCCATTCCCAAGCGACAGGGACAGCAGGAGCCAGGCATGTTGGGGGAGTGCCTTAATGTTCTGGTTCACTGCCATTTGCAGTCCTTTCCACCCTAGGTTGGTATGGTGTCCAGGAAGGGGGTTGGAATCACACCAAGCAGCCCAGCAAAGAGTTGGGGGGAGGAATTGCACCACCACAGATGTACTCAGGCCCCACATGCTAACTGAACGGGTGGTCAGCCATAGCGTTTGCATCCTGCTGCGTTCCTTCATGGTATTTTTGAAGCAAGCCCTGGACAAGAGGAACAAGAAGACTCTGATGTCCCAAAATGTGAACCTCTTATTTAACACAAGTTTAAGGATACAAAGCGATGCCACTGTCACCGAAATCGGGAACAAACCTCTTAACGCCGATGCAGCATTGAGCGGCGCACTCTCTTTATTGCGGCGCCGGTGCACGGGGGATCGCTCCCCCTAACGTGCGCCCCGAAAGAGGAAGGCACAGTCCTTCTACAC